AATGCTAAGCCCTGGAGAAGGAAGGGCTGCTGAGAGCTGCGCTGGCCGTGGGCAGGGCCAGAGAGCTTTGTCACTCATCACCCCAACAACTCTGTGTGCATGCTGGGTGCTCGGTGTCCGTCTGCACTGGGATGTCTTCGTCCTCAATGAAGCCAAGCTGTTGAGGAGACACCACCATGACCCCATGGGCCGCTGGAGCCTGGCTGAGCTCATCCCTTTCTTGCCTACAACCCACTGTCACACACTGGGCTGTGTACTGGTTTAGGGGTTTGGTAGGGGCTGGGACCCCTGTGCCCACCAACCTCCCCTGGGGGGCTCTGTGTGCTCACACAGCCCCATGATGCTCGGAGCTCGGCACACCAGGCAGATACAAACAGTTCTCTGAGTGCCACCTCCACAGAAGGAGACTCCCCCTCCAGCATCACTTGACTCTTGCTGGGATTTCCCCCAAAAAAACATTTTTTCCAGCTTTTTGTTTCAAGAGGAGCCCAGGTCGATGTGCGGACCAGAGGGAGCTGCCCACCCCTGTGCCCAGACACGTGTCCTGCAGCTGCCTCCTGAACCACCATAGGCACAAACCCACAATGTTACTTCGACCTAATCCTGCTCTTCTACCCCATGGCAATGGCTTATGCGATGGGTCCTTCCAGTGAGCAGCTCTATCTCTACACATCCACATATCTGGGTGTGACACGGTCATGTATTCCATCTCCCGCCCAGTGCAGACATTAATCATGCACTGTTCCACCCAAGCAACTCTCAAAGCACGCAGTGTCACACCGGTGATGACCGCTTCCAACATCCCCCACACAATTCCCACACCCCGGACACCAGCTCTAAAATAGTTTGCAATGAAAAACAGCCAAGTTTGGGCAGATCCCTAAAAACCAGCCTGCTTTGGGGACCATTCTCCCATGGCAGGTGGCAGCTGTCACCCCACTGGGACATCTCACCCCTGCTCTGGTGGCTGGCATGAGGCCAGCGGCCCGCACCCACAGTGATGGCACCGTTTGCTCCTTCTCCCCCAGCAGCTTCTCTGTTCCTCTCTTGTTATTTCAAGAAAATGGCCCTGTGGTTTCTTTGCCACATGAAAGCACCCCAGGGCTCAGGTGGACACTCTGGCTCCAGCTGAGCTGCCAGCAGTCCCTGCGGTTGGGATTTCCAGGGGAGAACAATTGTAGCATGCAGATTGGAGGCACAGATACCCAGCTCAGGTGGGGCTGTGTAAGTACAGATTGCCCCTGCGTGCACCAGGATGGCTCCGTGTGCTGCATTCATTTTCCCCTTTATGGGTTTTGGGTTCTCCTGGTGACCACCTCTGCAGCTCCTGCCCTGCTCGTGGCTTTTATGGCATTACATCACAGTGCAGGGGCCACACTGCACACACTGAGCTCCCCAGATAATGAATTACAGCTCCATCCTACCCACACCTTTCAGGTGCTGCTGCTCATTTTGCCTCTTTTCCTCCTGCTTTAAAGCAGCCTGGTCAATCAGGAATAGGAAGATCTTCATTCCCTCCATAAATCTCTGATTTGTTCCAGTGTGATGTGACCCCTCCTTCCACTGAACAAATGCTGAAGCTTTGCCCTTCTGTGGGTCCTGCACCCAGCAGTGGGGCTGCATCCCCAGGGCTCAGGAGGAGAGCGCTGATGGTTTGCAGATGTGATTTCATTTTCAATTGTTTCTGATTTCCTTGGTTGTTGATTTTTTTTTTGTTTGTTTGGTTCTAGAAAACAGACTATTTCTTCAGGGAGTGTTAGCCACAGGCCTCATTGGGCATTGTGTTTTATTCCATTGTTTTTTGTGTTGTGTGATTAGTAATATTGAGTTACATAATGATAAGCCATGGTGCCTTGTTACAAGGCTGAAGGCGCAGTTCCTATCCCAGCTCACAGCCTTCAGCCTGAGCAGGTAGCACTGTACAAAGGCAGAGGATCATGGAAGCATATAATCACAGAATGCAATTACATTGGTTTGGAAGGGACCTTCAAGACCACAGAACCATGGAATCCCAACATGGTTGGGTTGGAAGGGACCTTGGTTGGCTGTCCCTCCCCTCCCTGCAGCTCAGGCTGCCCAGGGCCCCATCCGTGGCCTCAGCACCTCCAGGGATGGGGCACCCACAGCTCTGGGCAGCAGTGCCACGGCCTCACCGACCCCTGAGTAAGGAATTTCCTCCTAAATCTTCCCTCTTTCAGTTTAAAGCCATGAAAAAGCGGCTTGCGCCCAGCTGTTGGATGCAAAGAGCTCCTGCAGGTAGAGAAAGGAGCCCCTCTGCCCACAGAGACACTTTCAGGAAGCTGAGGACCAGCAAACACAGGAAACTGTAATTGAACTAAATCCATCTCTTTAACCTCATTATTAGGGTTGGGATTATATGCTTTGGATAGCGTTCAGCCCCCATGTAAGGAGCTGGGAGCAAATGCCAGAGGCTGCCCTGGGCTCCCCGGAGGCACCATACAGACCCAGCACAGCAGCCACAGCTCATCCTTTGTGCACAGCTCCTGACAGAGGAGCACTCAGTGAGGGCTCCCACCTGTTCCCATACAGCACTCCTGCACTGCTCCCTGTCTGCTGCAGGAAAGCGTCAGCAAGGGAAGAGGGCAAAGGTGAAGCGTTATCGCGGTGCACGTGCTAAGTTTTCTTTGCAGCTCTGCGGAGTGTTCAGCACCTCAGTAATAGTCAAACAGCTGCTGAATGGGGCTTTGTCTATGGCTGGGTGAGACCGCCTGCCTCGTGACAGCCGGCACCGCAGAACTGCCTGCAATATGGATGGATGCCCCATCCCAATTCCTCTCCCTGCACCATCCCAGCTGCAGCGCTCATCGGTGAGGTGCTGGCAGCTTGGTGCCTGGGCTGCATGGACACGGAGCACAGAGGTCCCCACCTGCACCATCGCTCCCACACAGCTGTGAATGTCGGTGCTCAGTCCTAAAATTGGTGGATTTAAATGCATTGGCTGAGCGAGCATCTGCCATTTGCTGCGTGACCAGGGTGCTAGGACTGAGAGCGGGGCTGTACCTGCCCTGTTTTGGGAATGGGGATGGAGAGCTCATGGCAGGGTAGGGGCAGAGCAGGCATGCTGTCTGCAAACGCTGCCACAGGATGATACTCTCTAAATGTGACCCGGGAAATGAAATGAGGAGTGAGGAGGGGGGTGGCTTCCCTGCTTGGCACTGGTTTTTACACACCGAATTTCCTGCCCAGGGAATCTCAGCATAACCCTCCAGTGCTCTGCAGGCAGAGGTGGGCTGGGGAGAAGCGGGCTCCCCGTGTGGCTCTGCGGGGCGAAAGGCACTTATGGTAGAGGTGACCTTTCCAAATCCCTGCTTTGGACAGACATTTCCAATAAGGGCTGCAGAAATGCCTGCCAGCCCCAGCCCTCTCAGCCTGCTCTCCATTTTCCTTCCATCCTCTCCAGGCTGAATTTAATCCGAGAAGGTTCCTTTGAGCTTTTGTGTGTTGCTGGGGGAGATGTGGGCGCGCAAGGGATCGCGTTACAACTTTCATTTCCTGAAATGTTTGAGGGAACATCCAGGGTTTTATCCACACATCAGGCAAAGTTGAGGGCTCAGGTTTCAGGTCTTGTCACTCAGCTGTCACCAAACAAATGAGCCTCTCAGAGCTGGAGACGGGGAGAGCTACCTGCTATTCATGACCCCAAAAGCAGGTGATCACTCATGGGAAAAGCAGGTAGAATTAATCATTCTGCTGTTCCCCATTTCCTCCCCTTTTTGGCTGACCTGGACACAGTGTGAAATCTGTCCTGGGAGGTGAAGGGGGGGGGGGGGGGGCGAGAGGGGATTAACCCCTTCCTGCCGATGAAAGCAGAGCAAAGTGAGGTGAGGGCGGGCCCGGGCTGCTCCTCGGGCTGGCTGTGCTGTGACAAGCTTACTGCGAGGTCAAGCGCGCCCGGAGGGAGCCGACCGAAGTGCGCCGGGCTCCGCTCCCACCTGCGCGGCCCCGTCTCTTCTTATGTCCAGCATTTACTTCCAGGGCTTTCCCTTCGGCCTTCCCCACCTACCTGCAAGCTCTCCCCGGTAGAGAATGCAGAACCGGGCCGTACGCAGGGCTCTGCGGACAGAAAGGCGGTGCGCACGGTGCTGCGCGTCATCTGCGCGCTGTTTGCGCCGTCCCGCTCTGCAGCCGACAGGCCTGGCAGCGGCTCTGTGCGAGGGTGGGGGAGCTGGGAGAGCAGGACCCCCCCGGCTGCCCCCCCCGGAAGCGGAGCCTTAAGGCCGCCTGCGCGCAGGAAGCGCCTCTGCGCCGTTTGCTTTGAAAATAGTCCGCGGCTCGCGATGCCCGCTTTGATTTGCGCCGCGCAGGGCTGGAGCCCCGCGCAGTGTTTATCCTTCCACTCCGGCGAGCTTCGCGACGGGGCCCGATCGGTGCCCTGCGACGGGCAATGCGGGTCCACCGGCCGCGCTGCCCTCCCCATCCCGTCCCCTCGGGGCGGCCGTACCCTCCCTGCTTCGCGGAGCCGGCCCGTTCCTGAAGCTAGCGAAAGGCCTCACGGAACCCGTCGGGACCGGCGCCGCGTGCCCCGACGGGGCGGCCGCCGCCACAGACGGGGAGGATGAAAAGAGCCCCGGTGCTGTGACCTCGCGGCCGAAGTCGGGCCAGGGAAGCCGGGGGCAGCCGAGGAGCGTGGCGGGACCCGCTTGGGAAGAAGGCGGCCAGGAGAGACCCTCCTGCAGAGGGTGACATTTCTCCACGGCCCGAGACCCCGAGTACAAACACGGTGGAGCCTTAAACAAACACCCGCTCGATGGTGCAAAACGCGGTCGCGGGGGTGTGCGGAAAGCGACACCATCCGCACCGTGCGGCCGGGGGCGGTCCCGGTGTGCAGCCCCCGAACCCCGACCCTCGGTGGTGGCACAGCGAAAGGGCAGCGTTGGAAGGAGAGCGGCTCCCAAGTCGTGGGAAGGCGGGGGGGGGGGGGGGGGCTGGCAAGGAGAAGAGGGGGGGGGCTGAGGAGCTCCACAGAGAAGAGCGCAGCGTCGGGGTTCTGCCATCAGCGGTGTTTAATTTCGGCTGTTTGAGTACAATAGAAAAGAAACCTGAAAGCACACGCGAGGTCGGTAACACAGACTCGAGGCAGACAGCTGCGGGCTTACTGAGAGGCAGAGCTGGGGGTTGGAGGGGGTGGGCAGACAGAGAGAGACGCTCGTGCAGAAGGAAAGGGCCGTCCGCATTTATTTTCGCTGTTGTTCTTGTCCTAATGTGAAGCCGAATCGCTGCGTGTCCCGGTGGGGGAGCAGCACCGCCGCGTTAAGACATAGGCACTTGGTAAAACCCTCATACTGCCGCTTCCTAATTATATATATATATATATATATTTCTTTTTTAATTTTAAACTACATCGAAATCCTTCCGGTGAAGCTAAATATGAAAAAAAAAAAAAGAAATGTAAACGAAAAGTTCCCCTCCCTCCTCCTGCTGCCACAAAGGGCCCTGTGCTCCCTCTGCCTCTGGGCCGCATCAGTTGGGATTTATGGGGCGCAATGGGGATCTGAGGTTCGGGGTTGGATTTTTTCCCCCCCCCCTCTCCCCTTTCATTTCTCTTTCTGTTGTTGTAATTCCCGCTCACTTGAACTCGAAAGGCTGAGGGCTTTCTGCCGCTCTCTGCGTTTGGCTACGTGGAAAAAAATAACAATAATAATAATAATAATAATAATAATAAAAATAACGACAGTAGGGAAGGGAGTTGGGGGGCGGGAGAGGGGGGACCGGACCTGGAGCTGAGACCGTGGAGAAGAGCCGAAGTCACGTTCAGGATCACCGTCCGCTATGTACAACCGAGAGTCCGTGTCTGCGAGTGGAGCCCTTTAGGAGCCCAGGTCCACCAGGCTGGAGGTGAGCGGCCCCAGCAGCGAGTCCTGGAGCTGATGGCCCGGGAGGCTGTGCGTGCCCGGGGGGGCGGGCAGGGAGCTCAGCGGGTACGCGGAGCTCCTGCCGTGAGCGAGGTTCCCCTGCAACAGGAGGACCGAGTTCTGATCCGGGCTCTGCGGCGGTGAAAATTCTTCCTCGGAGCTGGACATGAGGGGTTTGCTCCCGTCCAGAGGGGAGAGCTGGTTGGGTTTGTTGGTGGCCGCGTTGTTGTTCTCCGTGTTCTCCCTGCGAAGGCAGAAGCACAGCGGGCGGTCAGGGCGGGGGCCTCCGGGATGGGGGAAGGAAGGGAAAAAAAAAAAAAAGAAAGAAAAAGAAAAGGAAGAAAGCGCCCAGTATGTTCCTAACGGATCGTCCCGCAGCTGCCGGGCTCGGCCCCTATTTAGACAGCTGCTGCACATCGCGCGTCCCGGAGCTGCCGGGAACCGAGGTGAGGAAGGACGAGGGGACTCCGCCGTTCCTTTTCGTCCGACTTTTTCATTGCAAATCCCAGCGCGGCCCCGCGGGCCCGGGAACGGCGCTCTGTGCTCGGCGGGGCCGGGAAGGATTCTCGCCCCGCGGGGCCTCGGGCGGACGCGGAAGCGAGAAGAGATGCGGGCCGGGCCGCAAGAAACAGCCGCCCCGAGCCCACACCGCGCGGAACCGCCGGAGATCCCCCCGGGGCCGGCAGCTGGGCCGCGGCGCTCGCGGCCCGGAAGGCACCGAACAAAGGCGGGGGCGGCCCGGGAGAGCCGCCGGAGAGGAGGAGATGGAAGGGGGGGATCGGTGCCCACGGGCAGGTGGGACCGGGTCTGGACCGTCCGGCGGCGGCGGCTCCGGTGCCGCGCGTCCGGCGGAGAGCGCAACGCGGAACGGGGCGTCGGGGGGATCGGGACGGCTGTCCGCGCAGGGCCGAGAGGAAAAAAGGGACGAAAGCGGGAGGAGAAGGCACGTACCTCTCCTTGGCCTCCGCCGCCCGGTCCCGCTGCCGCCGGTTCTTGAACCAGTTGCTGACCTGCGTGGTGGTGAGCCCGGTGGCCTCGGCCAGCTCCCGCTTCTCGCGGGGAGAGGGGTAGGGGTTGTGCGCGTACCACTCCCGCAGCACCCCCCGCGATTTCTCCTTGAAGCAGTAGCTCGTCTCCTCGCCGTCCCAGATGGTGCGGGGCAGGGGGAACTTTCGGCGCACCCGGTATTTGCCCACGGCTCCCAGCGGCCGCCCGCGCAGCTTCTCGGCTTCCACGTAGTGCGCCTTGAGCCAGAGCTGCTGCAGCTTGGGGTGGTTGTGGGGCGAGAACTGGTGGCTCTCCAGGATCTTGTAGAGCTCGCGGAAGTTGCCCCGGTGGAAGGCCACCACCGCTTTGGCCTTGAGGACGCTCTCGTTCTTGTGCAGGTGGTCGCAGGCCGGCAGCGACCAGAGGAAGCGGCCCAGGCGCTCCAGGTTCCCCCCCTGCTGCAGCACCTCGCACACGCAGGCGACCTGCTCCTGCGTGAAGCCGAACGACGGCAGCATCGACATGGCCGGGGCCGGGCGCCGAGGGGCGGCTCGGGGCTGCGTGCGGCACCGGGAGGCGGCGGAGGGGCGGGGAGAGCCCCGGGCCCGGTCCCGTCCCCAGAGCGGGGAGGCGCGGAGGCGGCCGCGGCGGCGGAGCGGGGGATGCTCGGCGGAGCGCCGGGGGGAACTTTGCCCCCGCTCCGCCGCCGCCGCCGCGCTTAAAGCGCCCGAGCCCCCGCGCCGCGCTGATTGGGCGCCCGCGGCTCGGCCCCCGTCGCGGAGGGCCCCGACCCGGCCCGGCCCAGCCCAGCCCAGCCCGGCCCGGCGGGCAGAGCCTCGGCACGGGCGGGCGGGGCCTGGCGGCGCGGCCCCGGCCTCGGCGCGGCTGCGCGGGTGCGGCTGCGGCTGCGGGGGGAGCTCCGGGCACGGCGCGCCCCGCACCCCGCGGGCATCTGCGCGGCTCTCCTGTTTCCATTCCGCTTCGTTTGTTAGCTTTTCATTTTTCTTTATTTTTTCTTTGGTTTTTCCTTTCTTTGTTTTTTCTTTTTTTCTTTTCTTTCTTTCTTTCTTTTTTTTTTTTTTTATTCTTTCATTTATTTCCCTTCATTATACTTTTTTTTTTTTTTTTTCTTTCCAATTTCTTCATTCTCTAAATTCCCCTCCTCGTCCCGTCTTCCATCACCCTCACTCCAGGCGTGAATGAATAAATACCGCTCGGCCGCACAGCGGATGCCGAGTGCTGAATAGCAGAGCGGAGACGCGGCCCCCCCCCCCCACCCGCACCTCTCCGCCTTCCCCTTCAGCCCGGGGGGGTCCGGGCCGGGACCGCTCAGGTCGGGAGAGAGCGCCCTTGGAGCTGCCCTCGGGGAAGGGGGAAGAGAAAAAACAGCGGCGGCGCTTTCATTCGCCCAAATCCTCATCTGCACACCTCGCTCCAAAGCAATTACTGCAAAAATTAGAAAGCAATTAGGTTCCCCAAGCAGAGATAAGCTGCTGTCGGGAGCCTGGGCGGGCTGGGAGATGGGGACAATGCGCTGAGATAAGGGCGTGGATGAGGGTGTCTTTATGGCAGTGTTTATACGCGCTGAGATAAGCGGAGCGCTGCGCTTTGAGCACCCTCCGGCCGGCGTTTGGGCTCGCTCCGTGGGTTCTGAGAACAATCGAGGGGCTCTTGAAAACCTGTTTGTCTTCTCCGAGAGCGAGCTGATTTATTCCCTCGTGAGCTCCGCGCGGCCGGGCCGGGGAGGACTCCAAGCCGTGGCCGGCTGTGCTCCCGCTGCCCCATCCCCATCCCCGTACCCGATACCCGGCCCCGAACCCTCCGTCTGGACCCGGCCGGGTCCCTCCCGCCGCACCCCGGCTGCAGGCCCCGCCGCCGTCCCCCCATGTCTCGGTGGTTGTTTTTCCCACGTCTTGCTCCTCTCGGGGCGGTTAAATAAGGCGCTGCCGCCCGCCTGTCCGCTCCGCACCGCTCGGGCACCGCCGCGTCCCATGACCGCGTGTCTGCTAATTTTCCCTTCCATTTTATTTTAGTGCTTGTGATGTTGCAGATGAAGTCTTAAAGAGCTGCAGTGTCCTCCCAGAAGGAATGTCTGCTTGGAACAGATCCTTATTGACAAGGCAGCTGCGTGGGGACCGGAACGGAGCCTTAAACCCGGCTCTAACACCAACTAATACCCTAAAGTCTGGAGCAAGTGCGCAGAATTACAGCGGTGGGCTCGGAGCCTCCCGCAGGAGCGGTGCCACGGCCGCACCGAGCCCGGGACGCGCTCCCCACCCCTTTCCCTTTATTACGATGCGTTCCTCTTGTTATTTTTCCAAGAATATTTGGGAAGCACAGACCTGAGGGTTCGTCCCTTCAAGGGCTGAGGGGTGAAGGAGGCAAAGCGGGGCCGTGGGGAGACCTTTTTTTTTTTTTTTTTTTGTAACGAGAGCGGCTTCTCCCTACCAGTCCCTTCTTAAGGCCGACCCCGAACGCTGGGGCTCAGCCTCGAGCGGGGCCGCACCGCTCCGCGCCCCACAGCGCCCGCGGATCGAACGGGGCTGTGCCCACGGGGCAGCTCCCAGCCCTGTGCGTTACCGCCTGCTTTTCCTACAAAAAAGTTTTCGCTTCAAACCTTGCGAAAGAAATAAAACGGCACGGATTTCCGAACCTCACGCTCCGTTTAGCCCCATAAATTCAGACGAGAAATGGTTTCGAAGCGCTTGAATAAAAGCAAAAGAACGGAGCTCGAAGCGAACGGCCGAACAGCGACTGGAGCGATTCTGTGCCGTATGGATCGGGCTCAACCTGGCTCCGCTCTTTGCGCAGGAGCGGAAATCTCCGCGGGTTTATTCGATGCGGAGCAGGGATGGGGACAGAGCCGGGGCAGCGCTCGGCCGTTTTTTGCCGATTTCGCCGGAAAAAAAAAAAGAAAAAAAAGAAAAAAAAAAAAAGAAGTAGTACAGAAAACATAGAAAACACGGCCCCCTCTGCCCATCCGAAATAGAAATAAACCTAAAAAATAAACCTAAAGATCTCTATGTATTTTTAAAGTGAGGGTTTCTGGGGAAGAGGAGCAGCAGAAGGCAGCGCTGGGAGCGGTGTCCGATAAGAGCCGCGGGCTCTGGGCTGGAGCCGGGCGGGCGGTAACAGAACGCTGCCGATTTCCGAACCTTTCGGAGGCGAAACCCAAAACCGCCCCATTAGTCAATGAGGTTTGTGTTGGAGAGGGCTCCTTTCCCATCCACTTGCTGTTCTGAAAAATAGATCACATTTCGTTATCTTTAGTGAGAATCTGCAACGTGATACCGGATCCGCGCTGCCTTCCCCGCCGAATGCGCAGGGAGACAGCCCGCTGCCGGCTCGCCCCGAACAATAAGGATTTGTGTCGCCTCTCCCTCCCTCTCCCCCCATATTATTCTATTTTTTTAACGGGGGGCCTTGGGATGATCGGGGGGGGAGGAGGTTACGACCCCCTCTCCCTGCACAGCGCTCCCCCTGTGCCCCTCTCGCCGGGACGCACCCCGGGCCGGGCCACAAAGGGCCCTTTCTCCGTTCACTTCTACGGATTAAAGGGGAGCACGCGGCCGTGCATCCCCTCCGTCCCCCCGGCTTTCCTCCGGCACCCCGTTTCCCCGCTGCTGACGGACCTCCGGGAGACTCTGAATTTTATTTTTTATTTTGATATGGTTTTTTTTTGTTTTGTTTTGTTTTTTTTTTAAGCTCCCAAGAATTTCCTCCGGGGAGGTGAAGCCCTCCGGCTCCTCCCGTTCAGAGGAAAGTGCCGGTGACGGTAATACGGGGTGACACTAAACAAACAGTTAAAGCGGGGCTGCAAAGATGGAGTTAATTATCCCGTGAGCTCCATTTAAACCCAGACCAGGAGGGGCCGGTTTGTTTTGGCGCAAGGAGCCGAGGAGCAGCGCGGCTCCTCCCGTCCCCGCCGCCGTCGATGCGGGCGTACGGGGACCGAGCCCCGCTCCGGCCGTGTCCCCTCGGGCAGCGCCGGGCCGTGGGGGTCCGTGGGGTCCGTGGGGTCTGTTGGGTCCGTTCCTTTTGCTTTCACACGGCTGCAATCACCGAACGGTGCCCGCGCTCCTCAGGTAGGTGCGTGTCCCGGCAGCAGCCCCGCAAAGCGATTTTCCCCGCTTTAAAGCCCCTTTTCCCTCCTCCTCCTCTTTTTTTTTTTTTTTTTTTTTTTTCCTTTCTACCTTTCTTTTTTTTTCCCTTTCCTTTTCTTTTTTTTTTTTCTTCTTTTCTTTTCCTTTATTTTTTTCTTTTCTTTTTCCTTTTCTTTTTTTTCTTTTTCTTTTTTTTTTTTTTTGTTTCAAAGTCTGATATTAATAATCCCTCTATGCCCCTCTTTCCGGGTCATTACGGTACTGCTGGTCTCTAATCAATCCTAATGCGATGGCAATTGGAGTCTCTGATGAATGCATCTCAGGTTTCTTGTAATGGCTCTACCACATTTTCCTGGACCTCCTCCTTTAACCTGAGATGCCAGGGGGACGTCTCCGTTCTCAGCTGCTGATTACTTCAAGATGTTCGGCTGCTGCGGGGAGAGCGAGCGGCCGGGCTGCCCCCGATCAGCCTCAGCTCCGCGGGATGAGCGCGTTCCTAAAGCCAAGGACCACGCCGGGGATTGAGCTCGTCGCCCCCACGCGTGTCCGCGTGCGTGGAAAACCCCACCGAAGTTTCCCCCTCCCAGCACTTTGCGGCTGCGGTTCCCCAACGCGACTCCCCCAGAGCTCCCTCCGGCCTCGTGCCCGACAATACCCACGCGTGTCCGAGTTCCCACTCGTTTTCTTCCCGTTTCTCAGCAGAACGGAGTTACCACGACCCGAGGTGATGCCGGTTGCAGCTTTCTGCCCCTTTCTCACGAGCTCTCCCACCCCGAGCGGGGCCGCAGGAGCAGGCGATCCCCGCACGGCGCTCCCCGCTGCCACCCGCGTTCCCGACACGCGTGGGCCTCCGGCTTCCGCGCTCCCAGTAAATGCGTGTGAAAGCTCGGTGGGGATCGGAAACGAACGGTCGCGTTTCCACGCACCGAGATGCGACAGAAAGAGGAATTCCCCGCAGAACGGCAGCGAGGGCTCAGCCGCAGCTGCGCTGCCCACGCGTGTCCCCACCTCAGCAGAGCTGCGGGTGAATTGCGGGCAAAAACAGAAACGAAACAGCGAACGGAGAGAGCAGTGCTCAGCCCACGCGGGACGGAGCCACACGAGGGGCTGCCCACGGCGTGTCCCAAAGCCACTCGTGTGCGCGTCCCATCCGAGGCACCGCTCCCCGCACGCGTGGCTGCGCGGAACCGAACCGCCCCACGCGTGTCCCGGCGCGGGGTTGGCAGCCGCTGCTTCTTTAAAGGGTGGTGAGGAATGGGGATGCCCGGCAATGGGAGATTGAGGACAGAGTTGGAGTCGGCCACGAAAGGGTGGCTATGTGGTTGTTTTGCAGGGCCGGGGTTTGGGTTTGTATGTATGTATGTTTGTTTGTTTTGTTTGTTTCCCGTGCTATGTTACAATGCTTTTTTTTTCTTCTTCTTCTTCTTTTTGTGCAGAAAATGCTGACAATATTTTTTAAAAAGTGAGGAAAAAATTGTTAAAAAAAAAAAAAGGAAAATATGGGGAAAAAAATGAATAAAAAGGGAAGAAAAGTCCATTTTGGATGGGGGCTGCCGCTCCTCCCCACGTTGTGGCAGTACTCAGCCCTCTCCCAGAACCCCGCTGGTACTGGGAGGGGGTGGACGACGACACCCGCTCCATTCTCGGTGCTTATCCCTTCCACTGTGCCTCATTTCCCCTCTGGCACCTATGGGGCAGCCTCGTACACCCTTCCTTTTGTCCCTGTGAAGGCTCCATCCACGCCCCCAGTCTGAGAGATGCAAAACGCAGCACCGCGCAGTGCACGGGTACCACATTTCCATGCGGGGCTGTTTGCCTACGCTTTGCATTTGGGCACTGAGCAAATATTTTCTCGGCAAGGCGATTACGCCCGACGTGGCTCGGGGTGCGATCCGCAGCTCTCGGGAGCGTCCCATCCCGTCGCATCCCATCGGTCCCGTCGCATCTCATCGAATCCCATCCCATCCCGGTGGGTCGGTGGTGGCAGCGTGGGGCGGAGGGGACCTTTCACCTCCCATTAGCGATGCCACCGGGCAGTGCGGGGCCGGGGTCAGCCCGCAGATGGCACGCGGTCTGCTCAGCGCCGCCAGCTCCAGCTTTGAAATTTTAGAGAGGGGAAAGGTCAGCTCATGTCGAGGCGGGTGCTGGCGGCGGGCGGGTGCCCTCCATCTGCCTCTGCTGCACCGGGGGATGCTCAGCCCGCGGGTGAGCAGGGAAGCACCGAGATGCTTTCGCCTCTCTTTGCCTTTAAAGGGAATTGCTCTGCCAGCACCGCGTTGTTTTTTTTTTCCTTTCTCTCCCCGCGTCTCCCATGAGTGATTATCTTTTCCAGCAGCACAACGCAGCTTGCAGGAGGAATCGGCTCTGAGCGCAGCAGATCAGAGTGGTGGATCAGCTCACCGCCCCGCACCGGGTGTATGATTTCATCGACCTTCAGCAGTGCCTCGCCTCCATGGAGACTGCACTCCTCGCTCCTGAGCCTTGCTGTGTTACTTCAAGGTTTGTGCTCCTGGATCTCAGAGAGGCACATCTATACAGGTGTGTTTTTCTCATTCCAAAAGAGGAAAAAGGCAAAAGCGTTGTATTTGTGTTTGGGGATATGCTTAGGGATATCAACAGGGCAGTTCTCCCAGGTGGGGATGCTGAGCTTTGCCCACAGCCATCACCGCCCATATTAATAGCACCAAACTGAGCTCCTGGTTACCTGAGTGCCACTCTGTCCATTTAAACAGAGCTCACTGTGAGACAAAGCTGGGTTTAACCATAATTTTCTGCTGCTCTCAGGTTTTGCTGCAGTCTGAAGGAAGCAACACACATTTAATGGGAGCTGAGCCGCACGAGGGGCACAGGAGCTTCCTACCAATGAGAATCACATTAAATAATTAATTCCCACTTGCCTCCGTACATTAGTGCTCTCAGCTACAAAAGCCATTCAGCTCCATGAGGCCCCAGGCTCCGAGCATGTGGTGTAGCAGCAGCCCCAGAGCCAGGGCAGCAGGCAGCCAGGGCACCAGGATCAGTGCAGCTTTGCCCTGTACCTTTGGCATATCCAGCTGTGCAGCTCTGCTTTGCACCACTTGGCACATCCAGATGTGCATTTCCTTCCTCCCCCACCCTCTGCATGGCTCACATCTGATTGCTCGATGGCATTGCTTCCAAGGGGTGGCTGAGGAAGCCAGAAGTGTATTTATTTTACCCGAAGCCGGGGAGCTGAATGTTTCAGCCTAAAACCTGAGCACACCAAAGCAGCATGTGGGTCCCTTATCAGCAGAGCTCATCAGAACAGCTCAAAAAGGAACGGAACGGATTCCTGTTCCTCCTCTATTTGTCCCCCTTGCCCTGCCTGCTGGTTCCCCAAGCAGCCTAGGGTCAGACTGGGAGCTTTTCAGTGACACCAGTTATTAGTAGAAACTTAATTCCTCCTGTTTCATGGTTGGGTTGGATGGGACCTTAAAGCCCACATGGTTCCAATCCCTGCCATGGGCTGGTTGGTCCTCACCAGCTCAGGCTATTCAGGGCCCTATTCAGCCTGGCCTTGGGCACCTCCAGGGGTGGGGTGCCTCCAGCTCTCTGGACAGCAGTGCCAGTTATTCCCAGGCACATCTGTGAGCCCACTCTTCCCTTTCTTGAAGAAGTGAGGGCAAAGCTTTTTTACTCAACACAACAGATGGTCCCCGAAGAAGAAGTTTAGCTGAATCATAGAATCAAAGAACATCCCAAGTTGGAAGGGACCTGTAAAGATCATTGAGTCTAACTCAATGTGAATGAAGTTATGAGGTCCCAAAGCTAGCCTGGAGATCTTGCTGATTTTACAACAGAGTCCCTTCCCTTCCCTTCCCTTCCCTTCCCTTCCCTTCCCTTCCCTTCCCTTCCCTTCCCTTCCCTTCCCTTCCCTTCCCTTCCCTTCCCTTCCCTTCCCTTCCCTTCCCTTCCCTTCCCTTCCCTTCCCTTCCCTTCCCTTCCCTTCCCTTCCCTTCCCTTCCCTTCCCTTCCCTTCCCTTCCCTTCCCTTCCCTTCCCTTCCCTTCCCTTCCCTTCCCTTCCCTTCCCTTCCCTTCCCTTCCCTTCCCTTCCCTTCCCTTCCCTTCCCTTCCCTTCCCTTCCCTTCCCTTCCCTTCCCTTCCCTTCCCTTCCCTTCCCTTCCTTTCCTGTCACTGTTGATGGGCACCAAAAGGCAGCAATGCTGCATGAAGAAGATCCTGGCTCTGCCCATCCCTGTGAAAGCTGAGCACTCCTTCCTATAATCCCTTCAGCTCCGGTGGCACCGCAGTGATTTACAGCTCTAATGCTTTGATCCAGGGCATGTTGCACCGTGGGACACAAGGGAGCTGGGAGAGAGGACTGGAAAGGGAAGAAATCCATTGGTGGCCATGGCCATTTTGGGAGGATATGAGCACAGCCAAGTGGGGCCTGTTGGAGTTGAGGGAAAACCAATCCAGTGCAGCAGGTTTGTGAGAGCGTGAGTGAGATCACGGCAGCATAAGGAATATTAATAGGATTTGCACAGATTAGTAAACTAATCTGTGCATTTCAGATTGGATTCCTCATTATGGAGAAGAAAATTAATCCACATACCGTGCAGAATTGCCAGGCAGTGCAGTGTGAGCATGATCTGAGTGCTGGGGAGATGGCTGTGTAGCCCTGTTGGTGACTGAGCATTGCACTGTGCCCTCCTGCAGCCAGGCCAGCACTGAGAATGGCTTGGGTTGGAAGGAACCTCGAAGACCATCTATTTCCAACCCCTCAAGTCAATGGCATTTACCTTCAGGTCTCTGCCTGGGAGAATGAATGCTTTGGAGTGCTTGCGGAGCAGGGTTTGAGGCGTTCCCTAGCACACAGCATGTGCTGGGTGTTTCATTTCCCACCACTGCTGGGGTTGGTCTCATCTCCCTTATCAGCAGTAACTCCACTGAGCACCATTTGTCACCACCAGAAGCCATTTGCTCATGGTAAACTGATTTAAGGACAGGCACAGGATGCTATAAGGATCCTGCCTGCTTTCTCTGGGGCCGTGACTAAGAATATGCTTGAACTGCTTAAAAATAGAGTGAGCCTTAGAGGTACTGGTTTGAAGAAATACATTTGCATTTTGTTTTGTATTTATTAAATGCAATATACCAATATTTATATGTATTATGGTTTGGGGACCTTCAGTATCTCCTTTTTTTCTTTTTTTTTCTTTTTTTTTTTTAATTTCTTCTTTCTTGTACTTGTCTTTTTCAACTAGGAACTCAATTTTCAGACTAGTAGGAAGCTGTGGCCATAAAACCTCCTTCCTACTTCCTCTCTCTCACCAGTTACTAAATATTGCAGAGTTCATAAATTGTGAAAGTTGGCAAATCAGAACAGTGCTTCGTTTTGAGACAAGGCTGGGGCTGTGAGACCCACAGATGCTGGGATGTGCTCAGCTGCCCAAACTGTGGATAGGAAACAGCTGGATGTAAAGATGGAGTCATGGGATTGTGGAATCATCCCATGGAATCATAAAGTTGGAAAAGATCATAACGTTCACCGAGTCCAACCCCAGCCCAGCCCCACCATGCCCACTGCCCACGTCCCTCAGTGCCACATCTCCATGGTTCTGGAACACCTCCAGGGATGGTGACTCCACCACTCCCTGGGCAGCTGTGCCACTGCTTCACTGGTCCTTCTGAGAAGAAAAGTTTCCTATTCCTAGAAACAAGGGCCACCCAGGTTCCTGCCTGGCGGGTGCAAGATGCCCATGCCCTGCTGTTGTGATGCCCATGTGCAGCTGTTGTCATGATAGCTGGAAATGGGCTGCTGCCAGCAGTATGCTCCGAGATGGAGTCACAGAATGGTTTGGCTTGGAAGGGACCTTGAAGATCATTAAGTTCCAAATCCCTGTTATAGGCAGGGACACCTCTCTCTGGACCAGGCTCTCACAACCCCATCCAGCTTGGCCTTGAATACTTGGTTTGGTTGAATACCCTTGGTTTTGGGGCTGCTGAGTTTTGATTTTTGGAAGCAAGGCCTGCCTCTTTACAGGGAGTGTCAAAACAAAGAGGTTTTGTTAAAAAACAGGGCCAGCTGCATGCACATCGGTCAGGGTGATGCACACAGGAGCAGCCTTTCCCATCCCATGGTCGGGGGTTCCTTCACTGCTGCTGGTCAGCGTCAGAATGCGGCTGCGAACATACGGAAGAAATGCAAGGGAAGAAACGAACGCAGTAATCTGGCTCCGGTAAAGGCAGCCCGTCCTCCTGCTGCTCTCAGGGGGCATTGCATCACGTTTGGCTCCTCGGGAGAAACGGGAGGCAGTGGGCAAAGCAACAGGGGGAGGCAGAGACCTGAGTTTGCTCTGCCACCGGCATCACCGGGCGAGTTCTGCTCTCGGCGCCTTCCTCTTAACGCAGCAGACCGTACGCAGCTCAGGAGAAGGGCCACATCTTACAGCTCCTGATATAAAGCCTATCAGCCAGGCTCAGGTATTCCAAATGGGGTCTTTCTGCCCGAGAAGCAGCAGGATGAGGAGTTGAGAAAGTTGCACGGGAGTTACTGAGTCACCATCAGCACTGCTAGGCTCCTCGGGGCTGGGTGCAACTCTTCAACATTTTATCTTTTTCCTTCTCCTTTCTGAGGCCTGTGCCAGCTTCGGCAGCATATAAAGTAGGTGCTATTTTTATTGAATCTGGCTTTAATGTAGTAGATTTTTCACACGTGTGTTGGTTTTTATTGTTGGTCTCGTTCCTGAACTTTCTGGCACCTCTGAGTGTAAAGTCAGTTATGCACACATTGTTTGGCAGATGAATTCCTATTTCTGGGAATCATTTTCCTTCTGAAATGTATTTCTGTATTAAAAATGTGATCTGTATCCATCACTGAGGCTCCAGCCCAAAGACTTCTGCAGCCAGCGATCACCGCGGTGGGGGGACTCATGCAGCCTTGGAAGGAGACCTCCAGTATCCAAGCCACGAACGTGTTCATTAAGACCTTGCTTTACTGACCCACGCTGCGCCTCTTAGAGCAGAAAAACTCCCTCTGAGCCATTGCTAGGGAAAGTCCAGCCAGAAATAGGGGATGAAAAGCAGTCTTCCAGCACTGCCTCCATTCCCAGCTAGATCAGGAGCCCATCAGCTTCCTCCCAGCAGAGTGCCTACTGCTCTGGCAGCCCTGGTCCTCTCTCCAGCATCCTGTATCCCCACACAAAGGGTCCCAGCTCGGTGAGAGGGCTGCCCAACCTTCTGAAGGTGCTGTCCCCCTTTCTCCATCTGCACACAAGCTGCCAGGGAACAAGTAACCGTGGCTGTGTGTGGTTTTCTCGCCTAGGGTGACCTGGAACACATCTGCAAAGCCCTCCAAAGTAGTAGGAATGTGCTCCGTTAGGACATGATTCATCCTGCATACCGCATGGGTGGCTGCTCAGGGAGAATTTTGACATTTGCATAGGCAGAGACTTTCCGCTTCTCACTTGCCCTCCTGTGCTCTGCCGGGCCGAGCTGGGGGCTGTGCAGCCACAAGTCCCTCCTGTGGCTGCGAGGGATCCCCCCGAAGCGGAGCCGACCCAGCAGCTGCTCCCCCCTGCTCCTACAGGGCAGCAACAGGAGCCCACAGGAAAGCCTCAGATGAGAAGCCGCTCCCAGCCCACTTGCGTTGGGTTGACCAAGCTGAAGGATGGCTTCAGACCCTCAGCCTTGCCCCAAGCAAAACTGGAACGGAGCTGCTGTCGGAGATCAATTAACTACTTGGAAACTGCAGCCGTCCCCCACAGGCAGGAAAATATTATTCCAGTCCTACTGCTCAGGCAAAACCTTTGCCATGCCAAAGGTAAGTGATACGAACAACAGGACTGAGTCACACACGCTGCTGCTGGGAAGGAAAAGTGGTTGGGCAACACCACAGTTGTCTCCTTCTACCTTCGGGGAGCTGGATTTGCTAAGGCAGCTGCAGAGGAGCCACGGGGCAGAGAGGGAGGGATGTGCAGGGCTGGGGGGCCTCCAGGAATACTGTGAGCAGTGCTGCGTGGGGCGAGCAGGATGTGTGCTGCTGCTGGGATAGAATCTCCACACATTCAGCAAATAGGGATTTACCTACCCAAAACCAAAACAGTCCTAATGTCAAGGAAGCTGTGAGTAAATACCATCCGGTCCCAAGCAGTAGGTAGAAATGTATTATGACAGTATTTAATTAGGGTGCAAATTTGGTCTGAGACAAGATTTAATATGTGGGTTTCATATGAAATAGAAGATTTATGGTTTTTAATTTAGTGTTTTTGAAGCAAAGTTACGGTCTGGAAAAAAAAAAAACATTTGAATCACAAGAAGAGCTCGTGCTTCTTAGGGAGGCTTCGCATCAGTTCCATGGTGAGCACAGGCATCCACTGCTGCCATCACCCTCACAGCGAGCCATTACAAGCACTGATCTACCTCGGATACTGTAGCTAAAGAGAAATACTTACACGAGATGTGTATAAATATAAAGTTTATTCAGTATAGTGTTTAGAAAAATAAGTTCACATCATCTCAGAATACAAATAAAACACTTAATTGTCCAGGCACAAACCCCTATTACAGTACAACAAACATACATACTTTAGATCTCTTTGGTTGGGTAATTAAGCACAGATATGTTTGATGATGCTCTCTGGGTCGGCATCATCTAACAGTGCAGTAAAGACTTCTGATTATTCCCTCTAATGCGTACATTCCGCTTCAACGTCTCATTTGTTGTAAGGCACAATAAACCCATATCGCAGAAATAACTGGTTAGTTCTGGACAAGCAGTACATGCAGCAAAAGAACATCCTCTGAATGTGAATCCTGAAAGTCAGAGGATTCACCCCCTCCTCCTTGAGTTCAGAAATGTAAGAAGCTAAGTTTAAATTATATGAAACATAAAAGTAAGATATAAAACATCCTTCAAGACAGTAACTGCTAGGAGATACAGGAAGACTTCAGGTCTCCTTGCTTGTAAAATGCCATTCATTTTGCTTTTGGAGTTACAAAATTATTGTTGCTTTTGTGATTTGAGATGCTGCCGGACCACAGACAACACAGGCTCCATGCTCCTGGGATCCTGCATGTTTGCTTCATGCAGAACCAGAGGGATGTGCCCTACTGGTTGTTTGTCCGTCCTCGTTAAGAAAAGTGCACAGGCACTGGAAATCTGCGTACAGGAAAAGTTCCTGTGCACGCGGGGCCAAATTCTGCCTTGCTTAATTTAACTGCAAATCATTTCCGTGAATCCATCCATTGTTGTCATTGATCTCATAAGGATAACAACAATAGAGACGGTTCCAGCCTTATTTCTAGAGAAAACAGCTTTCTAAATGCATCTTCCTGAATCCACAGGCAGGGCGAAACGATAAATGGCAAGAGGTATTTGCTTGGATAGGTTGGTGCCGTTCATTGCAACTGTCTGAGCATCGGCCTTGTGAACTGCTTTGTAGTGTCACTGCAAACTGGGCCAAATCCATCCCTGATCCAGCTCCAGTGAAATGAATGGACCACATTCTCAGCTGGTGTGAAATGACACGAAAGTCAGTGAACTGTGCTCGTTTATCCCAGCCAAGGAGCTGGCTGACAGATGTCCACGACTGCTGTGGCTGAAATGTCCAATTAGGTGAGACCGCAGGGATAATGCTGCAAATAGTCCAGACAGAGCATTTGATTCAGGATATTTCTGGTTCTCTGCGAAAGTCTGGTGAAACAGAGGCAGCTTTAATTAAAGGTAGTGAAGAATTCAGTTTTTTTTTGTTTGTTTCTTTTTTTAGCACTCATGCTTTATAGGAATTTGCTTAAACTTTAAGCGTATTTTTCAAAGCTGAGTCTGGGACCAGAAAAGCAGTAGAATTTGGCAACGTTTCCTGTAAGATTTCCAGTGGACTTACAAGTTACAAACATATGTGAAGTTGAAATGATCCTTTATTCTCATCCACAGCGGGGAGGGAAGAGAAGTAGTAGTTGTGCTGGATAGACTGATCTTCCATTGAAACAATAGAACGCGACAGTAAGGACCGTCCGTGAGATTCAGATGCTCACTGCCATGAGTATCTGTGGGAGATGAGCATCCGTACCCCCTGAACACCATGTAAAATCTTCAGTTGGGAAACAGTGGAG